CACACACACACACACACACACACAATTTTGATTCCCACTGTCCCAAATAATATATATTAGGAAAATACCACATAAGAAGAAGTTGGATCTTAAATAATAAATAAACAAACAAACATTGTATGCATTAACAGTGCTGGGAATAATATGGATAATAACAAGACTTTACTGTTGTTTTGGTGTCCTTTAAAGACTGGATTGTGTAGTTGGCTTGTTCCATATTAAACGACTGCTGGGAAAGCTGATCTCTTTGACCTTCATACCTGTATAATACAGCAAAAACAGAATTTAACAGTATTATTATAAAACATAATCTTAGATATTGAAATACACATTTCACACATTACAAATGAATATTAGTATAGGGAAAAACTCACATTCTCTTTTGTTTCAGCACTCTCATCGCCTTCTGTTTCACTGCATTCTGTAAAGAGATTGTTCATTTCATGTTTATGATTTATAGTGGGGTCCAAAAATCTGAGACCACATATAATGAAGTAAATAAAGTAAATTTGTGAACTTGAAAACTTCTAAAGGTAATATAATAGTATATAATATAATGTGTAATAGTAGTTGGCAAGGCAACATTTGTCATTTTCATTTAAATTATATGTTACTTCAATAATAAAGTAAAATTTAAAAAAGAAAAACAAAATACAACAAAATGACTTAAACCTTAACTAAAATAAAAAATAAATTAAAAAACTAATTCAAAATATTAATAAAAATCTCAATGATACTAATTGTATACTGGCACGAGTTCTGCTATCATAGGAGTACATACAAAACTAAGACATTCATGTTAATTTTTCAATTAAAAATTAAAATTGATTAATAGGTTGTTATGTTGATAATAATGTACTGAAAAAGCAAAACAAGACTTTTGGATCTCACTTTATAGTTAGAATGAGAGATTGCATTATTGCATGTTTACATGATATCAACTCGAGTTTTTGATGCTCACTTTTGAGGGTCCATCCCTCATCTTTTTCATCTGGTCCTTATACTTCATTAGCTCTGCGTCGATTCTCGCTATTTTCTTATCGATTGACTCGATCCTCGTATCCACCTATAACGGGAACAGCACACACAGCATCCACAGTACATCCATGTCTGACATGCAAACACCAATCAGGATGCTGCACTCATGTTCTGGGAGAAAGTCACAACAATACACTACTTACATTGCCTATGCAGTCAGGAAGGTTAGGAGTAGGCGTTTTATTGCTCCGTCCGAAAATTCGGTTCATTTTTAACGGGACTGACACTTATTTGCTTTGTTAAGGTATTTAAATGCTGATCACAGCGGGCTTGTTCCGGTTGGTCGTAGAATACACACCATAATAAAAGTCACGGTTGAGGTTTATCATCCGCTGTTTTTCTGTTGGTTCCCATTGGTAAAGCTTTAGAAATTCCCTAGATTCAGTTCTTCTAAGGCTATTGCTGTATATGTTTCTCTTTCGTCTCATTTTTCC